TTCCTGTATTCAAAGTACCAATGTTTAGATTTTTTTTAATTCAAATTTAACGTAAAGCCAAACTTTCATAATCCTGAAAACCGATTCATAATAAAACCGTTATGCTTTAGGGAGTTTTGGATGCTTATTACAAAGAAAAGACTAAGTTAGCTTAGGTTTGTTTTGTAATATTCTAAAAAAAAAACCTAAAAAAATAGTTTCGGGATTATGGAAATTCATGCAAACGTTATTTCGGGCAAATGTGTTTTCGGCCTTCTGATTCGTAACCCCAAGCCGTAGAAAGAGTACAACAATATTTGAAAGTATTACTAACATGTATTAAAAATATTTTAATAATAACATTAGCATCAAAGCGACTCTATGAAATTTTTGTTCTAAATATTTCAAACGCTTGTGTTTGAAACAATTGAAATTGACGTGTTGGGTCTCGTTCAGTCTTTTACGCAAGCTATGAGTCGGAAAGAGACAGTTAGTTATTTGATTGTTTTGATTGCTTTTGTAATTTATATTTACGATTAATTTAAATATACTTTAAATACTATATAATATACTAGTGCATAAAATAACACTTTTAAATGATAACTATGATAACACAATGTAGGTAGTACTTACTGAAAATATTTTTACTGCCTCCGTGGCCGAACGGTTACCATGCCGGACTGCCATGCAGAGGTCCCAAGTTCAATTCCCGGGTCGGGAGAAATATTTGTATGGCCTACATTTATTTCTCTCGTGAGTTTGGATGTAATTTGTGGTTGTCTACGTGTGTGTCCATGGCACCCGCGACCAGTGTTAGGCGTTAATCAATTAAATTTCAATCAATAATTCAATCAGATTAAAAAATCAATTCAATTGAAATCAATTGCAATTGATTTCAATTGAATTGATTTTAATTGCAATTAAATTTGCAATTAAAATCAATTCCGGCCGGTTGGGGGCCCCGGTTGGGAATCCCGCTTGGGGGCCCCGGTTGGGGTCCCCGGTTGGGGTCCCCGGTTGGGGGCCCGGTTGGGGGGCCGGTTGTGGGGCCCGATTGGGGGCCCCCATGGGGGCCCGGTTGGGGGGGCCGGTTGGGGGCCCCGGTTGGAGGCCCGGTTGGGGGCCCTGTTGGGGCCCCCGTTTAGGGCCCCGGTTGGGGCTCCGGTTAGGGACCCGGTTGGGGCCCCCAAACG